ACTTGGGCACCGAAGAACAGAGGAAAATTTGGGGATTTCAGTGGGTGAGGATTCGGGTTTGTAGAAGGCACAGTGGTGTTGTTTGGTTCATCAAATAATACATGCCTAGAAATGTAGATCTTGTTAGTTTTGAGGTCAAGACATTTGTAGGCACTTTGGGTTTGAGAGTACCCGAGAAACACACAGGGGGAGGATTTGGGCTGCATTTTATTAGTATTATAAGGCCGGGTAAGTGGGTAACAGAGACACCCAAATTTTTTTAATTTTAGATAATTTGGTTTTTGACCAAAAAGAGCTTCAAAAGGAGAAATGTTTTGAAGAAGGGGAGTGGGTTGCCTATTTATTAGATAGGATGCTGTTTGGAAGGCATGCGGCCAATAAGAAAAGGGTAAGGATGCATCATGAAGTAGAGTGAGACCTGTTTCAACTAGATGACGATGACGACGCTCGGAAACACCGTTTTGTTGTGGGGTGTGTGGGGCAGTGCTATAATGACCAATACCATGGAGCGATAAAAAAGGTTTTAAAGCGATGAATTCACCACCATTATCAGAGTATAAATTTTTTATTTTGGTTTGAAAGCGTGTTTCGACAAATTTTTTAAAGTGAGGAAAAATTGTAGATACCCCGGATTTGGCAGCCATTGGATAGAACCACATATATTTTGTGAAATGGTCAACCAGAATAAGGTAATAACGAGATCCGTCGATTCCAGTATAATGTGCGGGTCCCCAAACATCAGTGTAAATAAGATCAAGTGGTGCATGACTGTGAAGGCTGTTGGAATGAAAAAGGTTGTTGATGTGCTTTATTGATGGAACATGAATTACACAATTGAGAAAGTTTATTTATTTTAGCAACAGGAAGAGAAAATTTTTTAACAAGATGTTCGACTATTCGAAGAGATGGATGCCCAAGACGCTTGTGCCACCCATCAATTGAGGTTCGTTCATGCACATTAGCAACCATTTTGGAGGAGGGGGACATCTTTGAGTCCGGAAATGTGTAGACACCGTTTTCACATGCTCCTCGAAGTAGAGTCGCCCCCGTGGTCTTGTCCTTCACAAAGAAATGAAATGGGTGAAATTCAACAATAACATTATTTTGTTTGGTGAGGTGATGAACGGAGATTAAATTTTTGGAAAGATTTGGAACACAAAGAGTGTCACTTAAGATAAATGTGCGTTTTGGTGAGTATAATTCCAAAGAACCAATGTGTGAGACACGCAAACCTGAACCATCACCAAGAACCACTTCATCAATACCATCATATTCAGAGTGAATTGACAAATTTGCAAGATCACCCGTTATATTGTGAGAAGCCGCCGAGTCCATGAGCCATGTTTTGTTTTTTGTGTTAGAGGAGGTCACACAGTTGGCTGTAAATTTGTTGGACTGTAGCTGAGGACAATACTTTGCAGTATGGCCCATTTGTTCACAGAGCTGACAGCGAGGTTTGTAATATTTCTGATTGTTGTTGGGCCTGCCATATCCATTGTTGGGACGTCGTCCATCACGTTGGTGGGCTGGGCTTTGTCCTTGAGTACGTTGATGCCCATTTTGTTTATAAGATCCATTTGAGAAATTACCTCCAGAAGAAAATTTTCCCTTAGTTGTGTAGTTGGCTGTCATCACCATTTGTTGAGTAGCAATTTCCAGACGCCGAAGATAGGATTCGTGACCTACCAAGAGATCGTATAGCTCTTCAAATCCCAGTGACTTCTCCCGTGCTCGGATCGGCGCAGCCATCTCCCGGAAATCAGGCCCTAACCCGTTCAATACATAGAGGGTTAAATCGTCATCGGAAATAGGATGGTCAATAATGGCGATTTCATCAGTCAAGGTCTTTACATCATGGAGATAATCTGTGATTGATCGATTGCCGCGCTGAATTAAGGTAAGTTCCTCCTTTAGTTGCATAGCGCGAGTGCGTGATCGGTTGGCATATAAGGTCTGTAGCTTCTTCCAAGCTTCATGAGATGTCTTTGCCGTAGCAATGAGTGGTGTGATTGACGGAGAGGTGGAGGCCAGAAGGGCGCTTAGGATAAGTTTATCCTGTCGGATCCAGTGGGTTTTGCGCAGCTCATCAGTGGCTACACCATTGGAAGAGGGGCACATGAGGGTGCCTTCGACATAGTCGAGTAAATCATAACCAATGAGGAGTGCTTCGAATTGGGCACACCATTGGGGAAAGGTGGAGGGAGTTAATTTTTCATTGATTTGGGCAGTGATATTGAGAGCAACAAGTGGTTTATCTGCTGCGGAAGGGGGTTGGGTGTTGAGAATAAAGGTTGGATTTTGATCGGAGGAGGAAGACATGGTGGAGTCTTGGATCGTTGGCTCGTTAGAGATTGTTCGCTCTGATACCATATAAAGGAATGAAAATTTCTGTAGTATCAATGAATAATTTCCCACACTTTATTGATGTAATAGGACCAGACTTATATACACAGCTAGGAGAACTATTTATGGGCAGTTTACATCAATTTAGCTACAACTATGCAGTGATTACAGATTTGTAGCAGTTACGGAAATATACAAGGTTGATTTGCTTGATTGTAGATCACTTGATTGTAGGCTAAATGTGTTCTGTTCAATCTTGGCCTTGATTCTTGCAATCTGTCTTTATATGTGTCTCCTGTCGAACACCTTTTAAGTTTGAAATAATGTGGCTCAATATTTGGGAGGGATCAATACTATTTTTGCAATGTGATTTGGAATAAAGAATATTGTTTGGATTTTCTTGAATGTAGGGATTAGGTTTCTTACAATGTCAACTCCACCAGTCCTAGCGAAGATTATGGGGACTTGCAGTGAGTACAAGCCAGAATGAATTGGAGATGGACAACAAAATACTCTTTTATACTGCATTGTCCTTAATAGATGTTGGGGTTGTGAGCATATAACCTCTTGGGCACCATTCATAGCTGATCGAGTGGATGGAGAAAGAAATATTGATGAAGAACATTTTGGAGCTTTTTCTACAGTGTTTTAGCAGTTATCATCATCGCCATTGTTGCAGTTATAGCACTACATTACATAAAGCTATGGTCACATGGGGGGAGTGGTTGCCCGGTTTCTCGGCCTGGTATCCCACACCTCGCTTTCATGATATCTACATTCAATTGTGCCCCGGAGACACGGACGAAGCACGCCTGCCTAGTATGCTTCTTTCACAGCATGCTCTAGTCTTAGGTGTCTTTCAGTGGTCTTCTAGCCTTAGAATAGAAGAAGTCGTGTCCGCCCCAGACATCTGCAACGTCCTCCCACACTTTTATATTTCAAATCTAGGACAAACCAAAGGAAAAGACTTACCCATTCGGTGATACCAAACCAAAAAGGCTCGTCCCCGACTCTTCTTTCTAGGAAGAAGCACTTTCCCGACAAAGGCCACTAAACGGCACTATTTAACGGTCTGCAAGCTGCAAGCGGGGCAGGCATTGCTTGGTTACTGAATGGGTCTGCTTTTCCAGTGAGCGTGCCTTCCAGGTTCAGTTCAGTTCGATTTGTTTCGAGATTTGGGCCATATGTACTTGGTGGCCACTCTCTTGTTTTTCACATGTTCTTGTACTACAAGTCTACAACTATGTCCAACCACAGGGAAGCCCGTTGACGATGTATGTTAGACTGTTCATCGCCTCAACGTCGAAATTTATCTATGCATCTCCAAAAGAATTCATAAGCTGTATGAGAATCGAAGTTTTAAACTTGAATTAGTTCCCAATACTAGAAGCTACAGGTCCTCCCCTCTCTCTTTCTCTCGCGGACACACTCATCTAAACAATCTTAATGATCTTTTGAGGGTGGGTGGTTATGATGTTCGATTATTGGCACAAATTCTTTTTATGAGACAAAAGGGCATACCTCTGTTTTGTTCTTGAATGCAGCTATAAATAGATGGAGACTTTACATGTAACAGAAGTCAAAGAGACCAAAACTATAATTCGTATGATTCCTGTGTGTTTGACTTTTATCTTTTGCAGTGTTGTATCATCCATTGGATTCACTTACTTTATAGAGCAAATAGATCATCTACACCCCAAAGTTGGACGCATGAAGGTCGGTTTCACAGTTCTTTTATGTTTCTAAGACCAAGCAAAAACCAAATGTGCCGAGTTCTATGTAAAATTTGTCAATTTGTTAGGCGAATCAGGATTAAGAAAGATCGCTCCTGCAATTGGGATGTCAATATTTATGATGTTTACGTTACTATGTTGCATTACTGTTGCAAAAGTGGAAAACCGAAGGCTTGGTGTAGTTCAAAAACATGGACAAGCCTGATGAAATAGTTCTCATGACTATGTTTTGGCTGCTCTCTTGGTTCCTTCTACTTGTGGCACTTGAAGGAACTTTCCAATGCAGTGCAGTGATTTTTTTTCATTGATCAATATAGTGTACTTTCTACATATATTGTAGGTAAATCAGTGAAGGGGAGGAAAACTAAATTGGTAGCAGCAAACCCTTAACAGAAGTCGACTAGCCTGGTTGACTACCATCAATTTTGTAATTTTTGGTAGCAATTTTCTATAGCTACGAGGTATCAGAATTGCAAGATCTTGGGACACCTGAGTTTGATGAAACTGATGAGCCCTTTGATGAAAACACCAAATGTTGTTGCTGGTGTCTTTAAAAGTTTCTCGAGAATAAATTTTTAAAACTGTGCAAGAGATATCGACTCCCAACTAGTGCCCGTGTATGATCTATTCAGAGTCGAGGATATCAAGTATGTTGCACACAATGTTCAGAACGATCTTTCCACCAGATCCACAATTTATGGTGAAACGAAATTAGGATTCTTGTAAAGTCACGATTGTGTGTATATATGCAGCATTCTTTATGACTTTCATACCATTGAAAATCAGACAGGAATGAATGTCTAGGAGTAGCTAATCAATTGATACAGTCTGGATTTGATTTGACATTATTTTTGAATAATTACAAACATACATTCTTGATTTTTCTCTATGCAATATGAAAATCTCCCAACATATCTAACAACATTAGCAACAACAACGATTAGAATCATCTTCAGAGGGATCCTCTGCTTCAGCAAACTCAGGAGTTTCAAGTTTTTGCAATTCTGATTCGTTGTAGCGATAGAAAATTGCTACCACAATAAAAATTACTAGATTTATGGCACTCAACCACGCTAGTGTCCAGTAATACTTATCAAGTCGACTTTTGTTTAGGTCGTGCTGGAACCAATTTGGATTTTTTCCTCCCTTTTCGCTGATTTTACCCACAATGTACACAGAAAATACACTACTCAAAATCCCAACACCAAATACACTACTAATGAAGGAGGGCAAGTACTTTTTTGTGGAAGTTGGAAATTGATCTTTGAAGAAACACACTGCACTACTGTAGAAAATTCCATCAAGTGCAGCAAGTAGAAGGAACTGAGGGAGTAGCCAAAACATAGTCATGGGGATCGTTGCATTGGGTTTATCTATTAAACCATGCTTTTGAACAACATCGAGCCTTTTGTTCTCCACTATTGCAGCACTAATGCAACATAGTATCGCAAATATCATAGACAACCCGACCCCAATTGCTGGAGCGAACTTTCTTGATCCTGATTCATCTAAGGAATTAGTGAATTTCACGTACAATTCATTACTTTTGGATTTTGCTTGGTTATAGAACCATAAAAGAAGTGTGGATGGGACGCTTAAGCGTCCGACCTTGGGGCTCAGATGATTTAATTGCCTAATAAAGTAAGTGAATCCAATGGAAGATACAATCCCGCAAAAGATGAAAGTCAACCACACTGGAATCGTGCGAATTATAGTTTTTGTCTCCTCGACTTCTGTAACTGTGCAAAGTTTCCATCTATCATTTTGTTGTTCCTCTATGGTTGTTGACGATACTATAATTGCAGCCTTGTCCAAGCACCTGCATTACAAGAACGAGGATACGAGCGTATATTAGATATGTCCATTTTGGCTTACAAGATATGTTCGTACTGTTAAACAATCCAAAGAAATAAAGAAAAGGGAAAAGGAGGCTAGGGTTTTATTAATTCTACATAATGCAATTGAATACAAAAGAATAATTTAACCTAGAAACAAAACAACTATATATAGGCTAAATAAAGGAAACTGAAAAGACTATTCTACCCTTAATAAACAATAAAATAAAATAACCCTAGATTTTTTAACACGTACATCAACGTAAATGAGCCATACTCAATTGGATAAAACTCAAAATATGGTGAAGTAATTTAAGAGAAAGACCTTAGGCTTCTTGTATGGGGAACTAATTTGATTTCAGTATTCCGATTTTCATACAATTCATTGGCATCTTTGGGAGCTGAATAGCCGAACTTGGACGTTGAGGCAACAAGAACTCTAACAAACGTTGTCAATGGACTTCCCTGTGGTCGAACATATTTGTAGGAACATGAACCCGTGAGAAACAGGAGATTCGCAACCAGACTAAATACGACTGGTATCCCAAACCGAAACTTCCACGGGTGGATAATAGGGAGTCCTATGACTGCAACGGTGGTGATGATGTTAACTGTTAAATAGCTGACAGAATTGCAAGAATGTCTCTCCTCTTTAATAACTTCTTCTTTATTCACTTGTTCAGCCATGAACGGAGTCCAACAGATAAGATGCCCACACACCCCGACCACTATAAAAGCCAATGAGGTATAAAAGAGTACTTGTTGTGCATAGCCAATGCATTCTGGCTCGTCATCACTGCAAGTCCCGGTAGCCTTTCCTAGGACTTGTGGAGTTGACATCGTAAGAAAACAGAATCCCTGCATTCAAGAACATCCAACCAAAATTCTTTATTTAGAGCTTATCGCAAAATCCCTCCTCTTAACGGCTTAAACATTTAGAAAAATGCAAATGCCCCCGTGTATAAAACTCGTGATCGCGTTAGATGGAAAAATGAATATCACGTGTGGAGAAGTATCGAGACGAGGTGGTCATACTTACTGCACTGTAAGAAATGCTGGAGATAAAGAGCATCCTGTAGTTACCCATCACAGTGTCAACTAGGAACTGCAGCAATAAAGGCAATGTTCCAACCAATCCCCAAAACACATTGAGAATGGCTGCCGCAGGTGTGAAACCCAGCTTCCATACAGTGGTTAAATATTGCATCATCATATACATGGCATACATTGCAAGTATGTCAGCCCATAGTAGAACTAATCAAATTAACCCATGTTAGAATACAATATATAAAATCAACAAAAATTAACGAAATTAAGAAATCAAGAATGTAAAGCTAGCTACATTATATTCAAATCCTCGAACCACCTCGCCTAAAAGTTTTAGAAGTAGAACATATTTATTTATTAAATTTGTTCATCAACACGTCCATTCAAGCGTAGAACATGATATGTGGAAAACTTTCATAGATAGATAATTGAAGACTATCTTCAACAAGTTTTTACCGACTATTCTCCCGACGGATGCCATTCTAAACTTGTGAACTAGCCTCTGCAAGAGTAGCTAATTAAGTTACATAATGTTGAAATCATTGTAATGCCAATGGCTAATGAGAACGAAGTAAAAATTACATAAATCCAACCTCCAAGATTTGCCAAAAAATCTGTAGGTTTCGTAATTAAAACTCTCACAAAGAAAGCTGATAAATTCATGGGAAACTGAGAATAACTAAATATTTATAACCAATTTTGATTTGGTAAAAGGGCAGATTATATAAAATAAAAGGTGGCAAAAACTATGCTCCTATTTTTGTAACTAACGAAGGATTAAATAAAAAAAAGCAATTTCTACGCGTAAGAAGCTGTGAACAATCTGACTGTTATCTACGTTGAAATTCCCCGCACTATCATAATTGTTTGTTTTTATATTAAGGGACATCCGATTTTATCCTTTGCATTCTGCATGCCTGCCCCAAAAGATACCTATGAAATAAAAAAGATAAACGTAAATAAATCGACTTTATTTTCAAATAGAGTTGGACAAAACTTTCGAACCAAACTAGCTCTGAACCGAACTGAACGATTCTTCTTAAGTTAAATACTCGAACGGGTTCACGAAAACCGACGGATTTGGTTTGACTACATAGGAACTGAATCTCCTTCATTTTTTTTTAACCTTTTTATATTAAATAAGTCAAATTATTTTATGTTTTTCTGAATAAATTTGCTAACTAATTAATTTAGTCCAAATCCAAAATATGATTTTCTTATTTCTAATTTCCAGCAAAGTCCAATTTAATCAAATTGATCTAAATTTTACCCAATTTTTTTATTCTACCATAGTATCTTTTCTGCCGTTTTGAAGAAATCAAATTCGAAGTTCGGATGCATCTCTCTTCATTATTGTAAGCTCGTTGTCTTCCTATTCTTGTGATTTTAATAGTCAAATCTATGAACTCAACAAAGAGAGGCACAAAAAATATCACTGGATTGGATTACGTGATTTTGTAAGAGTTAAAATTGAACAAGTCATTAGTTGAATTAATATAATGTTGTTATAAATATTAAAAAAATAATTATTGTACGAAAATAGAGAACCGAATGGAACAAGATCGAACCGAACCGAATATAATCGAACCTGAACGATTCCATAATTAAATTTAGACTCAACAGTTCCACTTACTAAATACTCAAAATTTTGGATTCGGTTCGATTCTCTTTAGAAACAAATCGAATCGGACCATGTTTAGTCCTATTTTGAAATACCATTTGAATCCACATGGCTACTTGAAAATAATTTTGGGGCGTGTGTGGTAGGTTAAACTGGAAATAAAACAAGGAATACGTGAAATATTCATATTACTTGGTAAATCAAAATTCTTTTATTTATTTTTCTTATAATTGATCTTATGGTAAGCACCAATATTTTTCCTCGAGACTCAATTATTCGATTATGAAATAAATTGAAGAAAATTTTCTTGTGCAAGAAGAAAGAAAATAGACCCTATATTGAATAGGAAGCTCCACGATTTTCTCACTAGTGAACCGTGATGCAGAGAGTCCATATGGTTAGGCTTACAAGTGAACTCGTAATACAATGAATTCATGCATTCGTACTCAATGAACTCGTGGCATGGTGATGTTGAGTGAACTAGACGAAGTTTCCATATTTTCTAGAATTTCATACTTCAAGTTTAGCCGTTGCAGGAAATAGAATTCGAGCAATGAGTTTAAATCAGTTTGTGAAAAACCCTCGCAAGAAGGAACAACGAAAAGTAATCCATGATCGCTAAGATCGCGCATGTAAGGATGCTAGCGCGGAAATTTCTGTAGGTTTCAAGTGTTGGGAACTTGAATATGCCGAACTTACTGAATTTGACAAAGTTGTGATGTCGTCTCTAAAATCCATTAACGTGCATCCCAAATTGCAAGCTTCTATGGTTACTCAATTCGGTTTTAAATATGATGAATCGTTTGATTTTGACGAAGTTACGATGGCGTCCTAAAACCCATGAATGTCCGCCGCAAAAAATTATTGTGCAGTAAGTTAATCAAGGAGAAGGGTTCAGTTTTAGGAAGCAATTCTAGTAATATTCTCAATTTTGTGGTAATTCTGCCATGTAAAATTCTACAATTATTTTTATTTTCTTTTTGTAATGCTAAAAGAAAATGATGTAGTTTGTTAATGGGAAATTTTGTTTCACTTCCATATTTGCAATTGTTGATATATCCTTCAACGTTGAAATTACTATAATACATTAGAATAGTCGATTTTTTTATCGTTCGTGTGAATCGAACTTGTTTATTTGGTTGTTCTCTTATTAGTTGTCTAGTTGAAATTTTGTGTTATGAACCAACCCGATATCAACAACGTTTTGATATCACTTGTTGAGAAATCGGTCAAATAACTAAATGCGAAAAATATGAACAATATGAAATTTAATGGATCACATAACAATCAAGTAAATTGTGGAAGAGAAAAATTTATTATACCAAGAAACAACTAATTGTCTTACAAGATTTTGATCCTCTCAATATAATCTAAACATTCTCTCTTGTTCTAATGTATACACAATGATCTAATTGTTATAATCTCTCTTAAGTATTGCATTTTCCTCTCTTATTAAGTGTCTATACCTTGTGGAGTATTTAAATAAGCCAAATCTCGAAGTTGTGGAGTCTAAGATGAAGAAGAAGTTCCAAAATTCGGATAAAACGAGAAAATCGCGGAAAAACAAGCTACCGGGCGCCACAGCGCCAACCCTAGGCGCCTGGGCGCCCCTTGCAACGTCGGGCTTGTTGAAAATCCCCAACTTTTTTCGCTCCATAGTGTTTTACTTCATCTCCAAGTCCTTAATTCAGTCAAACTCCCAAAACACCACGAAATTTGATTTCTAAACAAATCGGACTCCTAAATCAAGATTAAACAAGCTTCCTTCATGCAACAAACATCTAAATTACATAGAATTTTTGTCACAAAATCTAACGAACTCCACATTGACACAAATTCCATAACAAAGAATTAAAACTCCACTCTTCAAGTCATTCTCCAACTCTTTCACCACTGGCATGCCATGCCCCTTCTGGGCAAACTTAGCAACTGCGAACTATATCAAAGCCCTACATACCAGCAGAACTACCTTGTGCGCCATCCTTGCTTGAATCATCACATTCATTTCTAGCTCCAGTCGATAATAAACCTACTTGAACCATCACACCAACCCTAAATCCACCGAAGTTGTCAAACCTGCTCAAATCACCCTGAACAACATGATCAACAAGATCACAACCAGCTCTACCTAAGCTACTAGAAGGTTTCCCAATATTATTGTCCAAATCTCCATGAACAACCCCGATCACAACCAACTCTACCGAGTTACCGCTTACTAGACCATAAGCTGCAACTGTTTTCTCCGTGATCTTTGAACCTTCCAACACATATAACCAAGACTTTCTCCGCCCCCTTAACACAACCCGGGCATCATTGTTAACTTTCAGAACTCCACCTCCATCGGTATACCTGTACTCTTTAAAATCAAGAGCACTCAAAGAGATCATATTTTTGTTTACACCTGGAACATGTCAAACCTGTCCAAGTGTTCTAACCATCCCATTCAGCATCTTTATTTTGACGTTACCAATCCCAACTTTCTACATGGCTCATTGCTTCCCGTCATCACGGAACCCTTTGTAACTGTTTCATATGAAGAAAACAAATCCAGGTTTGAACACATATGAAAAGTGTAAGGTGAATCAAGAATCCAATCCTCGTTTGGTTTGGAGTCACCTTCAGTAATCGCCAACAAATCTCCATCACCATTATCTTCTGCAAGATTAATATTATCGAAATTTTCTTAGTGTTCATCCTGATCTGTAGTAGCAAACCTCTTCTGCCACTCATATCAATCCCTCTTCATGTGTTCCTTGTTGTTGCAATACCAACATAATATACCGCTGTTTCTATCCTTGACTCTGCCCCTTCTACGACTATCCGTTTTCCTCTCACGAACAACAAGACCTTCTCTATGAGCCTCAAAACCGACGACCATATGCTTCATGTTTTCCTTAGAATAAAGCGCATCATATACACAATTGTAAGAGTATCCCGACTATAAAGAATAGTATCTTTAAAAGTCATATATGAAGGCGGCAACGAGCATAACTATATAAGCTCTAAATCCTCTTCATCATAATTAACCTCGATCGTTTCCAAATCAGTGACGATTTCCTTGAAAATCGATAGATGGCCTTCCAAATATCCATCTTCCGTTAAGCGATGCTTCGAGTGTAACTTACGTGTCAGGCTCTTAGTCATACAAAGCTACTCTAACTTTAACCGCAATGCAGCGGTACTTTTCTCCTTTACCACGTCCTGAAGAATTTCATTAGAAAGATAAAGATGTATCTGAGATAGGGCTTTCCGATCCTTCCGTTGTTTCTCCTTCGCAGTTATTGTTGCAGTCATCCTATCAATCCCCAATAAAGTATCATCAAGATCCAATTGAGCAAGAACCGCTCGCATCTTGATTTGCCATAATGAAAATCTACTATTGCGATCCAAAAGTAAAATTTCAAATTTCAAAGTTATCATCCCTGAACAATCGACATTATTCCAACCTCACTTTAATAATTAATTTGGACCTCCCAAGAAACCGCCAAAAAATTCTGGCTCTGATATCACTTGTTGTGAACCAACCCGATATTAAAAACGTTTTGATATCACTTATTGAG